TTTTTTTAATTACTATTCTATTGAAATTGATTTTATATTCTTTTTGTAGTCTCATAAACAAAAAGGAAATTATGAGTGCGGATACTATGTAATGAAGACAATGCATACTATTGTCGATTCACAAATAGTATCTGGGTGGACTGAAGTAAGTTTTACAATTTTGAAAGTTTTTGTTTTAAGTTCTCATTATATATATTTTATGAATTATTACTAATTATTTTAATTTTTCTTAACAGATATTTATAGATCGATCACCATTGTCGCTAGAAGACATAAACATCATTAGGGAGCAATGGGCCACATTTTTTATTGACCATTACTTTAACTAGTTTGGGCTTATATTTTATAGTATTGCTTTAACTACTTAGAGCTTACATTTCATTAAGCAATGTGGTCCATTTATGTATTAGATGTATTTAAAACTATTCAGTTATATATATGGTTGACATTTATCATCTCTTCTCATTTATTTTGGTGGTCGCTAAAACTTGATTTTTTTGTAGTGAAAATAACATGATAAGATCACTATTAAGAATTATATATATATATATATATATAGTTGATTAAAAGGGAAAAAAATTACTTACTCAAAATCTCCTTTCTTATTAATATTTTTTTTATAGAACATTATGAAATTTATTAATTATTCCTCTATTAATTACGCTAAGCATCCTTGTTACTTTATGCTAACAAATATACCTACCAAGGATGAGGTGAGGAATGCACTTTTCTCTATGAATGGCTTGAGTGTACTAGGGTAGAATGGATTTGGAAGTAACCTTTATCACTTTTTTTGGGACATTATTTAGGTGGATGTCTTTAATTCAGTGTCGCAAATTTTTAAACAAAATTGGGTATTGCCACTAGTAGAAAATAAGCATATTACGTCACCCCTTTTACGTCGGAAATACGAAAATCCGACGTAAAAAAAATGCGGTGGCATTTTTGTAATTTTTGCGAACTTTTTTACGTCACACCTGGTAAGGTCCGACGTAAAAAGTCCAATCTACGTCGCACTTGGGAAGGTCTGACGTAAAAAGTCCAATTTACGTCGCACCCTACCAGGTCCGACGTAAAAAAGACGCAAATTTGAATAAGAGAGCGCGAGGCACACCGCGCGCATTCACTTTTCATCACTTTTCATTTTTTTCTCTGTAAACCCTCTCCCTCTTCTTTGTTACTGAATCGTTTTCTTGTTTTTTGCAGAGGGATGAACTCTTTGTTACTCATTTGCACATTGTTGCTGCTCCTCAGGTATGAAACAAGGTTTCGTTAGCACTTTTCTACTTAGCATTGCTACTCTGGTTATCTATTTTATTCGATTTTTTGGTTGTTTTATTTGTGTAGGTAGTGGACGTTTTTGTTGTTGTTATTCTACGAAGCAGAATAGCTTGTTCTGCAAGCAGAACGGCTTGTTCTGCAAGCAGAACGGGCCGTTCTCCAAGCAGAACGGGCCGTTCTCCAAGCAGAACGGGCCGTTCTCCAAGCAGAACGGGCCGTTCTGCCTGCGTTCTTAAGTTTTTTTTTTGTTTTTTTACGACTTTTTTACGTCGGGTTTCGTAATTTCCGACGTAAATTTACGTCAGATTTGAAGCCCCGACATAAAATTTACGTCTCCCGCTTCTACGTCGGTACGTTTTCTGACGTAAAAAGCCTAAAATATCCGACGTAGTACACCTCTTTTGTACTAGTGTGCCTAGCCTTAATTCTAACTTAGTGACTCTAATTCCCAAGTTCCAAGGTTAGAGATAATTAGTGATTACAAACTTATTACATTAGCCAACGTCCAATTCAAGATCATCATGAAAGTTCTTGCAGATTGACTTGCTTCAGTTGCCCTTAAAATCATGTTGGGGCAATAACAAGGTTTCATTTAGGGTCGTCAAATATCAAATTGCATTTGTATCATTTTGAAGGCTATAAAAATGTTGGAACTTAAGCATTTTGGTGGTAACTTGGCTATAGAGTTTGATATTAGAAAAAGCTTTTGACAATCGGACTAGCATTTTCTACTTACAATTTTGAAAGCTTCTGATTTCAGTAGCACATCTTTTTAGCTAAATTGAAACTATTCTTTATTTAGCCAGGCTTTCTTTTAGTGTCAATGGATTTAGTGTGGGTTACATTGAATATAAAAGAGGAGTTCATTAAGGAGACCTGCTATTCCCTCTTCTTTTCTACCTTGAAAAGGATGTTTTAAGTAGGAGAATTTCTTTCTTGGTTGAACAAAAACTAATCTCACCAATGGTTAAGCCCAAAGGTCATCCCACTCCATCTCATTTTCTGTATGCGAATGATATTATAGTTTTCTACCAAGGCACAATAAAAACCTATAACATTTGATGGTCCTCTTCTATATGTATGGTGACGTCTCAAGTCAATATATTAGTCTTGGAAAAATGTAGATTGTTTTATGGCTCTATGAACTCTGAAAGGGTAGCCAGGGTAGGTGATTTTTTTAAGTTTGTTGTTGGCTTTACACTGTTTATTTACTTGGGTGTCCCAATCTTCAAATGTTAGCTTCAAGCTTCTCATCTTCATGAGATACTTGATAACCTTAAGACTATGCTAGCCTCTTAAAGGGTAGTCTTCTTTCTATTATGTGTAGAGTTCAATTAGTCAAAGATGAGATATTTGGGACTCTATTGTATAGCTTCCACATATATTTTTGGCCTAAGTCTTCGATTAAGTTTGTTTAGCGTATGATCAAGAATTTCATTTGGTCGGGGGATCCAACCACTTGCAAAGTGGTCATTGTTTCTTAGATATAGGAACCAATTTTTAATAGAAACTTTGATTGAGAGGTTGATTTTAGCATACTTTGATATCCAGAGAAAACTTCATGCATTAGTTTGTTTCCTTAAATAAAACTTTGAATGTAGAAAGCGAAATATGATTAACCTATATACAAATGCATAGGGGACTCTCCCTAAAAACATGCATGGAACTATCTTAGACGAATATTGAGAATCATATATAGCTAATTAAGTGATGAAATTGTCAAAGTACTCCAAGCAACAAAGCATAAGTATTTCAGGCAAAAGATAAAGTCAAAGCAATTTAAAAAAATAAATTAAAGATATAAACAGTTAAAAAATTTAAATTGAGCTCCCCTTGTGACTTGCAATCTTCTTTTCTCCTTTGTTGTTGTTTTCTTTTTTGTTGCTCTCTCTGTTCTTTATTCCTCCTATTCTCTATTCTCCCCCTTTTGGCATCATCAAAAGTGAGGAGCTTATGCGTCTGACATTGGCATCTACATTTGGAGATGATCCAACAACATGTTGAATTTTCCCTCATACTCCTTGCAGACCAATGCAAGACATTGAGAAGAAGTCCTCTTAGTAGATGATTTTGCTCATCAACTATTGATTCTTGATTTGAAGCACTAAACGGTGGTCCAGCTTCATCTGATGAATGCAGAGATAAAGGTGGAGAGGTTACATAGTACGTCGGAGGAGATAAACGAAACTGCTGTCTATAAAAGAAGATAATTCCCCTTAGCAGAAAAACATGAAATATGAAGTCATATGCAGAATAAAATTTGTATAGTCTTTTCCTTACAAAAAGAGTGTTTTGTTGGGTAGGCTCTGTGTGGCGTATGGTCTAGTTTGGAGGTGGATAAGTCATGAAGCTCCTCCTTCTATAAGGAATATCGTTTGGTTTGGTGCCTCGAGGATAGGGAAAGCGAAAGGTAAGATGCCTTGCATAGTTGTCATAGCTTCGATAAGTATAGTACTGAGGCATCTTTCCCTTTACAGACGGAGCTACGTGTAGGTCTGGAGACGAAATCTGTAGTGTAAAATTTTATCCAGGGTTACAGCATCAATGGTCTGTAGGGCTCTCTAAGCATGGAAGGAAGATTCATGGAGGTTCCTTCCACACTTAGTATATTTTATTGGTGCAAGTATAAAATAACGCAATACTTATAACTACTCTTACATGAGTACTAGTGAAATATAAATTGACTATATAGTAGTGATCAAATAGTATATTAACTTTTGTAATATTGTTTTTTGGGTAATATTTGATTTCAATAATTCGTATTTAATTTAGTTATTTTTATACGCTAAATTATTCAAAATAGTAATAGTAGACTTTAAATGTTTTAAAATTCATAAAAATTATTTTTATTTTAAAAATAGTTTAAAAATAATTGAATAAATTTATCATTTCACATTTCAAAATTAAAAAAAAAACATAATTGTAATCCTTTTTTAATTAAAATATAAAAAAATTCTCATACATTTTCATAATTGTTTCAAATAAAATAGGAAATATTTGTAAGTCTATAACCAAATATAAAAACATGAAAATTGATCCCCACTCTTTTACCTTTTAATACTAACAGTTAGTTACTATACCAATGAATTTCATTAATATACAAAATAGCGGTACAATAAAAAATAATTATGAATATATTAGTTTAATGTGTTTAAGTTTATTTTTATAATTTCAAGTTATTGTTAGTTTTAATTTATAACAGAAAAGGTCGATCTAAGAAAATTTATTAATGTATACAATAATTAGTTTAATATATTTGTTGATCTTATTATAAATCATCACATTAATTAATATTTGAAATTAAAAAAGAAAAAGTAAATAATACTTTGATTTGTAAAATATTTATTTTATGCATTATAACATTTGACATACGTAAATGACTGAAAATTTATTCGAGCATGTTATAAATAAATAAAAAATCTCGTAATTCAAAGTATAAACCTATTGAATATGTTGGTAAAGGTAGATATGATTTATGTCAGAACATTATGGTGTCGCTTAATCAATGTGGCGAGTGGGAGAAGGCTTTGTTGTTGTTCTTTTAATCTGGCAACAATGAGCTAATTTATAAGTGTCCACTATTTATTTTTCTTCCCATTGTACTGTTCTGTTCCTATTGCCCAATAGATGAATTATATGTAACTTCAAGTGACAAGCGGTATCCTGAGTGTTACTTTCTGTTATACAGGAAAATTGAAACCGGTGAATCTGGCATTGAGGGTATATTGAATCGGTTGGAGAAACAAAGAAATAGTGTTTTAGGACTTGGCTTAATAGAGAAAGAAGATGGTGTTTTTAGCGAAAGTAATGAAGATAAAGATGAATGGGATCATAGAACAACAATGAATGCAGTAAGTAAATATTATCCCCTTCAAATGTTCTAGGCTGTTCTTTAGTTTCCATTACTCTTTACGTCATATGCTAAAAGTATAAAGAAAAATTAAAGAAAGATATTATTAACTATATTGGAGTTCTGGAGCATTTGAATATTGAATTTTTTATTATCAAACTTTCACATTTCCAATGTTTATTCTATTATATATTTCTACCTATTAGTTTAAGCTATAGTTTTAATGTTTAATACCCTGAATCTGAGATAATGAATTTTTGAAATATCGCTTTTGATGTCCCTCATTATGTTGAAATTTTAAAATATTTTTTTTTGGGTATCTCCTGTGTTGTAAAGTTAGCTGCTGGCCTTGAAAATAGTAGTAGAGCGTCCTCATTGAGCCCTACAAGCACTCATCTTAGTGGTTCTCGGATCAAACATGATCAGCACGGATTAGGTTCTGAAAATTTAAGAAACTCGCTTGAGCCAGAGATGTGGAGAAGTTGGATTATTCAGAGAACTGGTGTTTCGGATGCAGATTTTGAAGGTAATCTTGTTTACATTTTTAGGTTGCGTCTTATTGTTGTAGTCTTATTGTTGTAGTCGGGATCAACTGATATCTTCATAATTATGAATTTATGATATACAGATGCTGAAATTGTTCCTGGTGAAACTCAGAAAGGAGGTATCAGTGGTGCTTCAGGACAACCTGATATCCTCAACGGAAGGGAGTTTTCTTCTGAACTTATAAACAAAGAAACAGGATTATATTCTCTTGATGGAAATGCAAATAATAATGACATTAAATCCCGTATACAGCATCTGAAATTGGAGCTATCTTCTGTTCTTCACTCGTTGAGGTCTAGCACAGATATAACTGCAATGCAGACAGTGAGTGTGATAATATAATAAACTAGTAATGGAACTTGTCTGTGAATTACCCCAACAAAAAGAAAAGAAACAACACAAGATTTACCTATTTGATGCCCTGTGAGTAGAAAAGAAACAACACAAGATTTACCTATTTGATGCCCTGTGAGTTGCAGTTGCCTATGATCTTACTATTTTTTATTGGTGGGGGGTCTTATTTACGAGTTACAAATTATTTGAAATAAACAACAGTGAAGTATATCCAATCTTTGATCTTTGCTGCAGGTCTTTCTCTATTTTTTTAAAGCACTAGTGATGTTAGCTTAGCTCATTTATGTCTTTTCTATGCTTTGCAATAAGTTTGGACCTGACTAGTATGTATTATGAATAGATATTGTTGCCACTTCTATTTTTGAGGGCAGAGGGGAATTTTTCTGTGCAATATGTTGCTTTCCCGTGTTTCTGGATGTTTGGAATTTCTCGTGGTAAAGATTAAAGTGTTCTTTTTCTTGATGTGTAGGGGAGATTCGAGGGCCACACATGGGCTTTGGATGTTTGAATTTGGAAATGTTGTGCGCGATTTTAATCTTGCAGCTTGATTCTAGCAGGATGGATGGAAGAAATTATATTTTATATTTAAAATAAATAATTTATATTGTGAAAAAAGATGATTTTTAGTTATTGATATTTTTTTAAAAAAATATTAAATTTTTATTCATAAGTAAATGTGATAAATACAAAATTAAATTACATAAAAGATAGGAGTGTTCATTGAATTAAATCAATAAGACAAATTCAATGTTTATAGCTAAATCATTTCCAAGAAATAATTTCTTCATGAATTTATATTGTTTAAAGCTAAATGATTTGAATTTATTACTTAAAACATGTCATAATACTTTTTTTTTATTTATATAAAATGTGTCTAGGATTGTGCGAGAAAACAGGATGAGGGAATATCTTATATATAGAATTATTAAGATTATTATATGATTAAGATTACAACTAAATAATTTGAATTTATAATTAGTTGTAATTACTTAACACATGTCTTTATTTGTGTTTTAAAAAATATGTATGAGATTGAGTGGGATAAAAAAATATTGAAAGACTATTCTGAATTTAGTATTATTAAGATTAAGATAAGATTTTTATTTAAAAAAAATGTGTTTGAGAGAGAATAGGATAACATCATGACATAAGACTATCCTAGATTTATTATTACTAAGATAAAATTAAGATTACAACTAAATTATTTGAATTTATAATTAGTTATAATTACCTAACACATGTCTTAATAATTTTTGTTTTCAAAACATGCATTTAAGATTTAGTGAGAAAACAAGATGGAAGGAAAACTATACTATATTTAATATTATTAGAATTAAGATTTTTGTTTAAAAAAATGTGTAGATGAAATATGTATGTGTATCTTCAATAATTCAAATTTGAACGTACATTTATTACGATTAAATAAAAAAAATATTATTAGTATAATTTTTATTTTATTAGTCTTATTGCACCTATAAAAAATTATTTTAAAATGTTTTAAAATTATATAAAAGTTAAATTATTTAAGATATATAAATTATCAAAAAAACTATACATACTATAATTAGATTTTAATTTCATATAAAAAATACTTCATTAATTCCGTATAAAGTTAAGTTTCAAAATAAATTTAGACTCACATTTTCAATTTAGCTTACTATCTTTTTATTTTACTTCTATTTTAAAAAAAAACTAAATACCTTACTAAAAGTCTGGTAAGAAGCATGAAAATTTGATACATATTATCACCAAATATATATACATTTTAAACGTTAAATATTTATTATATATAACATAATTATCTTTACAATATTATATATCTATATATATATATTATATTTGAATATGTAGAGTATATTTAAAATTCATTTTTAAATATATAAATTATATTTTATATTTAAAATAAATAATTTATATTGTGACAACAAATTATTTTAAAAAGTATTAAATTTTTATTCATAAGTAAATGTGATAAATACAAAAAATTAAATTAGATAAAAGATAGAGGTGTTCATTGGATTAGATCAATCTCACAAATTCAATGATTTGAATCGAATCAACTAAAGGCTTGTGATATATAAGCCTCTATATATTAATAATACATCTTCATTATGATTTTTTCTTCTTTCTAAAATATCTTTAATATTTTTTTTTTATTTTCTAATTTCTCAAATTAGATGTTTTACCTTACAATGCACGACATATTTAATAATCATTTACAAATTTAAATATAAAAAAATACATCCACACCAACTTAGACTTATACAATTCTTTTCTGTCTTTTAGATAAGAAAGTCAGATGATTTTAGATAAGAAAGTCAAATGAATTAAAATAATGCCAACTTAAATAATAGTACTAAATATGTTTAACATATTATATATTAAGCACATAGAAGATGTCATATGAACAAAGAAGATAGTGAAATTTAAAAGATAAAAAGAAAAATAAAATTAAGAGGATGGATAATAATTATTTGCAAGTTTTGTTTTGATAAAATATCACAACATACATGAATTTATAATATTTATGGCTGGGGGGAATATGCCAAGACTAAGGAGAGCAAGAGGTGATACATTAAAGGCACCAAGAGAAGATGATTTTGAAGAACTTTCATATGTTTGCGTACTTGGTAATTACTTGTATATGTTTATTTTTCCTTTATATATATTTGTGAAGCACTTTATTTCTGATGGAATAACACTAAGGCCAAGAAGACCAAGAGGTGATATATTGAAGGAGGCAAGAGGATGGGTTAGTTTTGAAAACCATAAGAGGAGTGTGCCTACTTTTGGGCTTAGCTCCTACATTTTTTTTTATTAGTATAGGATTTATTCCTATTTTATCATTGTCTTTAATTTACTATTTTACCCTTGTATTTTGGGGCACCTTAGATATAAGATTTATTTTTACTTGTATTTCCCATTTTACCCTTGTATTTTGGGGCACCTTAGATATAAGATTTATTTTTACTTGTATTTCCCATTTTACCCTTGTATTATGGGGTGCCTTGGATTATAGTAGTTTATTTTATAGCTAGGGTATTTTATTAGCGTAAGAAAATAAGGCCTAGACGTATTTTTTCGTAGCCTTGGATTTATTTTGGGACTTGGCAAGGTTTAGGCCCAAGTGGAGGGCACCTAGGTTGCATGGTCTTATCATGCACCTAGATGTAGCTTAACCAAACCCAAAGACTCCATCCTTGGCCACCAAGTAGCATCTAAGGTTTATTTAAGTTTCATTTGAAGTGCATTTGACTTGCATTTTTCAACCAAGCACTCTCAAATGTAACCCTAAGTGCATTCTCCCTTCTATAAATACCCTAGGCTAGCAACCTTGTAAATACTTTGGAATTTATGATATTAAGAGAGACTTTGACCCTTAATATTCTTTCCTTAGTCCCTTTGGTCATTTCGGCCACTTATCCCTCTCATCTTAACCGTGTGTATTCTCACCTTTAGGAGTGACCTTCATCCATCAATGAAGTGAGCCAAAACCCTAGAGTACCACCTTAGCATTTCATCAAGCACCTAGCCTCCATAAACACCATTCGCCCACCTCCATCACTAAGGCTAGAAACCTTGAGTTCCATGAGCCAAGGAGTCCAGTCTTCCCTTCTTGACGCTCTTAACTCAATCCATGCAAGGAGGGTTGACATCATGTGGTATCTAGAGCCAATGGTTCTTCAAGGGTAATCTCTAGTCTATTTTGAGTCTTTTATAAATACGGTCATGTCAAGGTGTTTTCTTGCTTGTCTTGAAGTTGTGCTAAATAGATCATATTCATGCTATATTATAATGGTCTATGTGGCATGTTTTGTTCATTGATTCATGCCATAAATCGTCTTGTGAAGCATCTTGGTGCCTAGGTCTCTTTGTAGGATTTGTCCATTTTTGTTTAAGTTTGGGTGGCTGGAAAATTTTGTGCATGATAAGAAAAAAAAAGATGATCATCTATTTTTATTTTATATTTTATTAAGTTTTGTCATAAGAGTATGATTCTCCCTATTTTTTCTTGAAAGAAAATTCCAAATACACATGCCTAAACACTTTCATGATCAAAATATGATATGCATGCTATATGTTTGGTGAAATGGCTGTCGGACTTTAGAGTGCTTTAGAGAGTCAATCATGCATGCTAATTAGTCCTAGCATGTTCCTTGATATTTAACCATTCATGTGTGATTTGTATCTTTGCACATATTGCTCAATTCGGCCATCTTGCTTTCCTTTTCCATTTACACTTAATATGAACATGTTTTGCTTGATAATTTGAGGTTGGAAAGTGATTATATGTGCTTAATTTACTGCTGGACTTTATTGCACATAAAGCTTAAAGAAACTCGAATTATTGTCTCATAAGTCATCACTAATTAATTGCTAAAAGGATACTCCAAATTTTTTTCTAATCAAAATCAACAAACACAAGTATAAAACCCAAGTAAAGGAGGAATATTAATTAAAAAAAAAGGGCTGGACATTATTATTGAAGAAAAAAAAACCAACGTGCCAAAAACAAGTATAAAAAAAAGGAGACAAAACAAACAAAAGGGAACCTTTGCTATACTTTTGGACTTTGGACTAATTTTCCTACCTTAGCAATTGGATTTATTCTTTGGACCTCTGGACTATGTTCTAATGGCTGAATGAGACTTTAAAATTGAACATGTTAAGTGCAACATTTTATCAAACACTTGGTATTCAATTCTAGTGCCATTCTAGGAATTATTCTTTTGAGTGCTTTCCTTTTCTTAATGTGCCTTAATTTTAGTTTTTGTGTCTTCTTTCTACTCTTAAGTTTTGTCACATCTATCTCCAGTTGAGTTTAGCCTTTTTAATTGTGCCTTTTTAGTTTTATTTCTTTGGACTCTTGTACTCTTGGGTGGTTTCTTCTTGATCTAGGTGTGGAAAACTCCTAAAACTCATCACATACACTTTTGGTGAATTGATTGGAGGAGCTGTCCGATTTGATTCCAAGACCTATGGAAGGAGGCAAGAAAACTGGGTTAGTTTTGAAAACCATAAGAGAAGTGGGTCTACTTT